GTCCCCAATATCTTTGGTTTGGTTAGTGTTTTGTGGTAACAAGAACTGCAATGCAACTAACTTTTTTGGTCCCCACTTTCATTGGTTTGGTTAGTGTGGTAGCAAGAACTGCAGTTACTCACTTTTTTAGTCTCCACTTTCACTGATTTTTGATTAGTGTTTTGTGGTAAACAAAAGCTGCAATGCTATTCACTTTCTTTGATTCCATTATGTTTGGTTAGTGGTAGTGGTAGCAAGAAGTGCAATACTACTCACCTTTTGAAACCCACCTTCTTTGGTTTGGTTAGTGTTTTGTGGTAACAAGAACTGCAATACTACTCAATATTTTGGCCCCCACCTTTATTGGTTTCATTAGTGTTCTGTGGTAGCAAGAACTGCAATGCTACTCACTTTTTTGGTCCCCACTTTCTTTTGTTTGGTTAGTGTTTAATGATAACAAGAACTGCAATGCTACTCACTTTTTGGTCATCAATATCTTTGGATTGGTTAGTGTTTTGTGGTAGCAAGAACTGCAGTGCTACTCATTTTTTGTCCCCACTTTCATTGAATTGGTTAGGGTTCTTTGGTAGCAAGAACTGCAATGCTACTCATTTTTTTGATACTCACTTTCTTAGGTTTGGTTAGTGTTTTGTTGTAACAAGAACTGCAATGCTACTCATTTTGTGATCCCACTTTCATTAGTTTGGTTAGTGTTCTGTGGTAACAAGAACTGCAATGCTACTCACTTTGGACTATGCTTTTGGTAGCGTTCTGTGGTAACAAGAACTGCCATGTTACTCACATTTTTGGTCCCCATTTTCATTGTATTGGTTAGTGATCTGTGGTAGCAAGAACTGCAATACTACTAACTTTTTGGTCTAAACTTCCTTTGACTTGGTTCCTGTTTTATTTTAACAAGTATGCCATTGCAAGCCAATTTCTTTGGTGCCAACATTCTTTGGTTTGGTAAGTGCTCTAATTTAACATCAACAGTATCTCATCAGAGAACGATTTCATTTGGTGTGAAAGTTATGCAGCAGTTGTAGCAGTTTTTTGGGGAGTTTGACTGGTACCTGTGTTTTGTTCTTTTTGTCCATTACAAGTGCTTACTTGGTATTTTTAAGCATTATTTCCTATATGTTCAAATGATTAGAACTTCTCTTGTTTTTCAGTATTTTTTGTTTTGGATGTTTCCCAATAGTGTCCCCCAGTAAAAAAATGTAACTTTTCACAGGTGTGTGAATATGTGTGTGTGTCATTCAATGCAGACACAACAATTTCATCAAAATCATGACCACCTTTATCAAATAGATCTAATTAATACCTTAAAAACCTAGCAGTCACCCGCAGTTCCATACAAAAATCAGGGCTAATTTCTGTCGAGCTATTACAGGCCGAAATTTTACAAATGATTTCCTGTGTCATTTTCAGAGTCCTCTCAGAAGTAAATTGGGTTCTTTGTGAGGCTCAAACAAAAGACAGCGAAAAACTGTTCCCTGGCAAGTAGTTATTAATGCAAAATTTATACAACATACATGTTTGCTGTATAAACTATTAATGAAATGATTATTTGTGTAAATAATGATTCGTCACAGCAATTAGCACTAAAACCAGTCAACCTTTGAGGGGTTTTAAAGTGGAATAAATTTCATACAATTATTTGTTAATTGGGAATTAAAGAAGTGCTTTAATGGTTCAGCAAAGTTGGAAAAATATCTTCTATCTTTTTCTAGGTCAAACACAAATTCCAATTAAAAGTGTATGTCTAATGGGTAATAGAAGGTGGGGCTTTCCAGGGTAATTTATAGGGGTATAAATTATTTTCAATCAATTTCTAACCCTCCATCTTACATTTCAGGTACAAATTGATGAAGGAACCATTAAACGTATTTAAAAAAACGTAACTGAAAATCTGCTTTTGACACTTGGTAAAAAAGGAATTTTCAAGTAATAAGCAAGTTTATTTGTCACAAGATAATGAACAGAGACCCTATAAGTGGAAAAGGCCAATAAATTCCTTGATCATGCATACATAGATATTGGGGACAGATTTTACAACTTCACATGTAACCTCCTAATTCAATAAAATCTAAAGTAAGTGGCAATAATTAAAACTCCAGCGGAACACAAAGACAGAACAGAGGGGTGAGAAGTGTCCCACAATCCTTTGCTGGCCCCTGGTCCTTTGATCACTCCATTTATAATTACGACTAACAAATTCTCTCTGCTATTATGATAAATAGGATTAAGTCAAGACAATATATAAATAGAGTTTTGTACACAACAACCAATTAACATTTAAGTAACCATGAGTAACAAACAAAGCTCACAAAAGCGCTTTATTGCAGATAATTCTTAGTCAATATCACTTCAAATTCTCCTTGTCAAATGACCAGATAAAATTTCCCAAATTACATTGCGGATTAAAATCCCTGATAAAATTTATATAGGAGATAAATGATTAAGCTGGGCAATTAAAAGCACTGTTGTCCTGGGTTATGGGTTGGTGTAAGGAAAAATC